AAAAAACTTGCTATAGCTAGCTGTTATATAAATATTTTCAACTTAATCAAATCTACCATTTAGGTGGACAAAGTGCTTGTTTTACAGTGTAGTGATTGTAGATTTGTGGAGATAAGGGTTTTATTGTGAAGAGCTGGTTATCCTGTTATTGTTGCTTCTGGTGACTCACAGGCAGCAGAGTCTGCAGCTGCTTCAGCATCCCTGCCTCCATGCCTGACAGAGACACCATAGCCGCATGACATAACAGAAGGAGGAATGGTAAATATAGATTTTGCTGTAGCCTTACAATGAACATTTTACTTTAGCTCGGCCCTTTATATCTGAGTGAATGTTTTTCACCTGTTCCCTGATAGGTTGGCCTAACAATGTTCTGAAACATTTCTGTTTTGTTTTTTTAAATGTTTCACAGTGCTAGCTGTAGCCAGTCTAGTTGACAACATTGTTGAATTATGTAACGGATGAACATCAGTGACGCTACAGTGGAGGAAGACCCAGTCTCCATCTGCTAAGGGACCACTAACAAATACTTTAAATTGATAACATTTTAAATGCTGCTGGATGTGGTCATATTGAAAAGTGCTTTTGATCACCTGTAGAAAGTATGTACATTTAAGTAGATGCATGTGTAAATGAATGTAGCAGGTGTTGATAGTGCAGCTGGTTTTGTCAGTAGAGTGGGACAAAGAGATGCTGTTTTGTGTGAAGCCCTATAGTCAGCATGTTACATAACTGAGCATTTTGTGCCTGTGAGCTGTCCTGCTGTGGCTGATAGAGTGAGATCACAGAGACCAGGCTAGATGAGACCATGGGCCACAGCATTCATTTACACTATGATGTGTTTTCACTTGGATACAACATCCAGCTCTTATGAATGCAAACAACAAAAGAGAAGCAGCCTATTCAAACAGCATGCTGACGATAGTTTAACTTGTTTTCAAATGCAAAATCTGTCCTTATAAAAGCTGCTCAAATGTAATGATGTTTTTCTGTTTTAAATCATTATAAATTAAAAATATAGCCGTGAGTAGCAACGATCGGGATCCAAGCAAGTCGTGAAAAATGCAACATGTGACATTTTCAGAGTAGAAGACCAGACGCAGATGATTTGAGAGATAATTGCAGAAACACAAACTTGATTTTTACAGCATCACCTTACGGACTATGATCTGAACAACCCCATTGTCATCAAGCCCGGCTTGAGGATTTGAACCCTGGAACTTTAAATCAGCAGAGTAGGCAACTTACTGACTGAGCCACTGGTCAGACTGTTATCACACATCTTCTCACAAGTTGAGGTGGTGACGTCACATGTGCCGGACCGGGATAGTTTTGTCAGTTTAAACTTAAAACGCTTACAAAAGTCAAGATGTAAGTGAGAAAATTCTAATAAAAATCACACATTATTCTCCCTGTTTTGGGTGTGTTGTATATTATTTTGCTGGCGTTTGATCCAAAACTAAGCAAGAAATAAAATGTTTTGCATACTATACAAGTTATGGCAAGATACTGAATATCACTGCAGACTCACCATTTGACCGATCTAAAAATCCCTTGCAACACCTGATATCGGCCATCCAGAGAATGTCTGTGTTGATATTGGTAGCGTTTCAAGAAAGACTTGTGGAGATATAGATGATAATTGAATTAGCATATTCTGAAAAATTTAGAGTCACTGACTTCAGAATTCACCACAGGTTGCAGTGAGGCAATGTGAACATTTGTCACATATCAGTGGATGTGCTGAAAAAATTTCACCTCTCTAGGACGCACGGTAATTTTCTTAGATTTTTTAAAGTTTGGAATGTGAAATGTCTAGAAATGTACATTTGTTATAATAAGCCACACCCACTTTGTGCAGTCCTTACCAAATTTTATGCATCAACTGAGTAGTGACCCTAGATCATAGAAACTGAATTTTGTAGAAATCCATGCAGCAAATTACGAGGTATAAACTATGCCAGTGTAGTGTATAGAAAGTGTAGTGCCCGCTAGTGGAAGAATATCCCAGGACAGCTCAGCGAAGCTCGAAGCATCTGAGCAGACTTGTCAAGTCTGGTTACAATAGCTTAAGCCAATTTTGATTTACGGGCATTTATGTAAAACTGTACATAAAGACACAAAAGTAAAACAGATTGATGTATCAAAATTCTTTTGATAACTTTTGATCAGCAATGTCAGTAGATGATCCCGCTAAAGTTTCAGGTCGATTAGCGAAAGCGCCTGGGACGAGTTCGTAAAAATAGGTTTTAGAGAAAAGTGATAAAAAGTTGCATAATTTGACATTTTTAGAGCAGAAGACCATTGGAGCAAATATGCAGATAAATCCAGAGATTAAAATAATTAAAGAAGTTTGACTCTAAACAAAGCCGTTTTCGAGATAATTGCCAAAACGTAAAGTTCATTGTTATAGCGCCACCATGAGTTCTATGATTTATTTTTTATTTATTTAGTTCTATGAGGGACATTTTTTTTGCCTGAGTAGTGGGTGGAATTTGCAACCCACCTGCCAATTTTGGTGAATTTTTGTTCAGCAGTTTTTGCTGCCCAAACACTTTCAGTGGAGAAAAAGAAGAAAGAACAAAAAGAAGAGGAAGAATCTGCTTGGATCCCTTATAATTTTGTTATTGATGTTAAGACAAAATATATAATTTGGAATAGAGGGTTATATTGATAAAACCTAGTAGATGCAATGTTACATCAGGATGTTGATATAAGTCTTGGAGCTGTGGAGTCTGGATCTGTGGTTGCGAGTCACCTGCCCCCGTGTTCCTGCTCGACACCCTCTGCTAAGATTATTGTTACTAGTCCTATTGTTATTATTGTTGTTATAATCATTAACATTACGATTGCTATCATTAACACTGCTATAAATATCTGCACCATTCATTCAGTCTATAGCAACATCACCTTAACGGTCTCTGTGTGGATATTGTGTAGGCTGCCTCCCTCCCCTCTCTCTCTCCTTCCCTCCCTGTCTCTCTCCCTCCCTCACCCCCAACCGGTCGAGGCAGATGGCCGCCCACCCTGAGCCATGGTTCTGCTCGAGGTTTCTGCCTCTTAAAAAGAAGTTTTTCCTTGCCTCTGTCGCCTAGTGCTGCTCTTGGTGATAACTGTTGGGCTTCTGTAAATAGCATCATAGAGTACGGTCTATACCTGCTCTTTTATGAAAAGCGCTCTGAGATAACTATTGTTGTGATTTGGCGCCATATAAATAAAATTAAATTGAATTGAATATAATAAATATTGCGGAATATCAACTGAGAAACGCATGTGGGATACGCTGGCCTTCAGGGCCCTCTGGCAGAAAGCTTTCTGCCTTTTCCCCCCTAAACCTAACCAAGGTAGTAAGCCTTTCTGACAAAAAGCCCTCAGGGTGAGGTTGAAGTTTAGGTAGGCTAATATGAAGGGAGGTGGACTCGGATAGCGTCTGAGGCAGATGAAATGGTCTGTTAGCATTTTTAACTAGGATAATGTTTTCGTAACATTGCCGTGACGAGTAGCGACCTTATGTTTACATCTCACAGCTGTTTAGAGATTGCTGTATTACAATGTAAATGCTCCGTACATGTATAGCGCCTTTCTAGTCTTTTCGACCACTCAAAGCGCTTTTACACTACATCTGCATTCACCAGTCACACACATTCATACACTGAGCCTAAGCTCAAACAGAAACTAACATTCACACACATTCATGCGGAACAGCCGCCAGGGGAAATTTGGGGTTCAGTATCTTGCCCAAGGACTCTTCGATTTGCAGCCTGGGGGAGCCGGGATTCAACCGCTCTACCTCCTGAGCCACAGCCACCCCTACGGTGGTCATCTTAATTAATTTAACATAGCAGTGAACGGAAATGCACGCAGATATGCATTTTCTTTTGCCATGGATTGCGCTTAAAGTATGCATATAACATTAAATAAAAATCTTTATAAATATTACTTATATACCGTGTAAGAGTTTATAGAAGTAGTCATAGTGGTAGTTTTGGCTAAACAAGTGAATTGAAAATCTGACAAAACAAGATATAGATAGAATTGCCACAGTATAAACTGTATAGCAAAATGACAGATGTATAATGTCTCATGGTATCGCCATATTTTTCAACCCTAATTTCAAAGTAATACACTCCTGTAAATTCGCCCACTTGATAGGTAGCTATGAAAAGTTAATGACTTTAAGTTGGATTGCAGTTGTGGTCAGCTTGGATTCACAACAGTTGGAGGATGAGCTGTTCCGGGAAACCGTAGCCTACAAAAACACGTTGTGAGGCCCAGCATGAAACTCTTTTAAATTCTACTAGAGATACCAAAGAATCCATATGTATGCTAACATACTGATGTTTGGAAAATTCTGCATAAAATGATCTTCAAATGCCTTGTCACCCACTCCGTAAAGAAAATGTCATTAAAAGGCTGAAAGGCTGTTTGTCTTCAACAAGCACAGCAGCACAATACAAGTTCACATAGAGATGTAAAATAATAGTAATGGTAGTGTTGATGATAGAATAGTAATAAGGTATAATAATAATAATAATAGTAGCAGCAGGTGCCGAGCAGGAACACTAAACTATGGGAGAAGGAAGAAGTCAAGTAAGTAACATGCATTAATGGGATAAGAGTGCATCCAGATGGAGAGGGGCAGGAGGAGAGAGGAGCTCATTGCATCATGGGAAATCCCCCAGCAGTTTAGGCCTATAGCAGCATAACTAAGGGATGGTTCAGGACTCACCTGAGCCAGCCCTAACTATAAGCTTTATCAAAGGGGAAAGTCTTAAGCCTACTCTTAAATGTGGAGATGGTGTCTGCCTCCCAAATCCAGAATAGGACCTGATTCCACTGGAGAGGAGATTAATAGCTAGTGGCTCTGTGGATCTGGTCATAGTTTTTATTAAATTTAAAAAGTGTGTTAAAAAACACACCCTGGCTCTTTATAAATTAGTCTGACTAAATTAGTATGTTTTCAGTGTTTAACAACACACTATGGATCTTTTTTTTGTCACCAGGTTCCCAATGTTGAACATGTCCACCCCCAGCGAGCTAAAGCCTCCCTGCGTGACTCGCAATGGTATGGTGAAGTTGCCCTCCAGCCAGCCCAACGGTCTGGGCAGTGCGAGTATCACTAAGGGGACACCTGCTGCAAAGAACCGCCTGTGCCAGTCCTCATCTGTACCCTCCATCCTGCCCCCTCCACCGTCGTCCCTTCCCTACCACCACCACCACCTGGACAGCCCTGGCATGCCCAATTCAGCAGCCTCTCTCTTGGGCTCTGACCTGGAGCCTGGAATGCCTCTAGTGAGCTTGAAGCCGTCCTTTCGTCAGCTTCCCCCTCTCACTCTACCGAAACCCATGTTACTGGAGCGCCAGCTTGTCCTGGATGAGAAGCTGCTCAACCGATTGCTCTGGTACTTCACCACAGCTGAAAAATGTGTGCTGGCACAGGTATGCAAGACATGGCGCAAGGTGCTGTACCAGCCGAAGTTCTGGGAGGGAGTGACACCCATCTTGCATGCAAAGGAGCTATATACCCTGCTGCCCAATGGGGAGAAGGAATTTGTCAGTCTGCAGGCCTTTGCCCTGCGTGGCTTCCAATCTTTCTGCTTAGTGGGCGTGTCAGACCTGGACATTTGTGAGTTCATCGACAACTACCCGCTGTCCAAGAAAGGTGTTCGCTCAGTCAGCCTCAAGAGGTCTACCATCACAGATGCCGGTTTGGAGGTGAGTCAGCATGTGTTTTGACAGAGGTAATTGGATGAGAATTTTCTCTGATCTTAAAGATGATTCTCAAGTTGGACATGGTGGGTAGTTCAGAATGCCTGGGAGATTACAGCATTCCTAGCTATACACAGAACCCTTCCAGCTCTTCCCTTGCAGACAACAAAGTAGTGGCTTTGGTCAACAACAGCAGTGAGACACTAATATATTATGGTTATTTGTGGAAAGAGCCACGCAAATATTTTGATTATTTACCATGTAATATATTATATTTGATCTCATTCTAGTAAGAAATCTTCCTGCTTTCCTTGTTTTAATTTGCTGTTGATACAAACTCAACACTTCCTCCATGTTTACCTGTTGTTTTGATAAATGTTGTATAATTTATAATAATTTTCAATATCAGTACAACATTATCACGTCATACTCATCACTCTGCTGCTCTATGTTTTTCTTGTTAACACAAATACTGTTTTCATTCATTCATTATTTCCATTTGCATTTGCATTAAAAGCATTCACAGGAAGTATTGAGTTTTATTAACCCTAGCTAAAAATGTACTGTATAGCAAAAAATGCAAAGGAGAAGTGAAAAAATAAGAATGGAAACAGTGTAGTGTTAAAAAGAGAAAGTGACATCAGCATAATGGTGAGTATGACATGACTGTTGTACTGATGGAATTAGTGCTGTGAAAAATGGCCCCACAATGCAGGAAATTAAGTGGAGAGAGACTGATTTAAAAGCCGTCACTTTCAAGAGTGTCATTAAGTGACACAGTAGGTTATTGTTATTGTTAACATTTAACAATAACAATACAAAATGTATTTAATAACTTGCATGAATTATAGGTACGTTGCATTATTTTCACCACAGTTCCTCCAGTATTGAGAACTTGATATTATTTTATATTTTGAAATAATTTCTGAGGTCAATAAGTATCTCATTTTTATTTTCCAGGCAAATCCTCTCCAAAATAAGTTCTGGTAGTTTTGTGAATTTGATTAAATGTATGTTTCCATTCTTCATCTGTTATTTGTGTTCCCAACTCTTCCCATTTTATCTTCATACTACCTATTCTTTCTTCGTTGTTTGTGTTATGGTAACAGAGCATGCTAGACAGCAGTGGCAAAACATTTGAAGACACTATGATTTTTGCTTTGCTTACATTCTGTCATATTCTATTTATAGTAGCAAAAGAGTCATAATGCCTGCAGAGTTTTTCTCAGATGGCTGCTCATATCCACCTAGGCTAGGCTGCTATTCTGGGATGAGGGGAGTGTTGCCATGGAGAAAGCTGGAATTGTTGGCTGCATGATCTATATATGGACTTTACCATTGTGTATTGCTGATTGGTGCATTACCATTTTGTTGCACCTTCAAAAAACAGATAATTTATCTTGAAAAAAGAAAAGGGAGTTGTGACCAAATGTCAGCTCTGTATTGTGAAATGCTATGTCCTTGTTTTTTTCACATTAACAAAGTTTATTGCAGCTCCTTGTTTTTTAATTCAGTTTTTATTTCAAAATGTTCTTTTTGCAATGTTTTATTTCATGATGACAAGTCTTTGTCAATTGAGTCAAAAAGGCCAGGGGTCTCATTTATAAACAGTGCATACATACAAAACAGGGCTGGAAACATGCGTCTGCCACTTCCCAAGCAAAGCTTGTGATCTATAAAAAACAAACTTGTCTGTGAATGTGCGTCCTGTAAGTAAACTCTACGCACATAAAGAGGAGAAATGAGAAATGGCGACTCACATGGCAGAAGGATGAAACGGTTTGAAATTAATAGACCTACTAATGTGTAAAATAAATAAATATTACCTCTGAGTAGTATAGGCTTAAAGCCTTTCTTAATAAACACCTGTTTGACTGATTTTCCCTAAAGTGCGCAATAAAAAACTTAATTTGCGGCGCACAAAAAAAGAACCATGATTGAGGATAATAAACACAAACGGAGATATCTTGTTCTGCAAAATAACACCTCAAATATGTTGGACAGTTTAATCAGGAATCGTTTAATTAATAGCCTACTTAATGCACTGAAATTTATTCTCATAAATAAGGTGAACAGGAGACAAATTACATTTAAATTTATGCCGTTTTCAGTGCGTCAGTCGAGCAAATACTAGAGCATAGTTTCATACAGCATACATTTCATACATTGAACAAAATGCTGGGCGCCAGCATGTGGATGTGATGCGCTGCTTGTAAAACGCCTTATGGAAAATATAACACTATTTTATTAAAGATAACTTTCAGTGTGTTTCACATAAAACAAGTCATCTTTCTTTTAACTCATCGGCAGCCTCGTTAAGTGAGTGGACTGTTTGTTATAGGCAACTATGGGCGTTTGAAGGGTCGGACATGGAGCTCCCTCACATGCGCCACATTTCAAGTGTCTGAATATTTTTTGGCATATGCCATTTTTTGGCTTTTGGGCGTAGGTACACTTTTAGTGAGGTTTCTACGCACAGTTTTATAAATGAGAGCCCAGAGCTAGTAACATGATTGGCTGTTTCTTTGGTCTGAATGAGCTTAACTTGATAAATGACAGAATAAAAACAAAGATTATGAAAATAGAGGTAAAGAAAAAAAAAAATCAGTGTCTTCTGATGTTTTGACACTGCTGTGTAACATGCTCTGTTACCACAATACAAAACAAGAGGCATTTGTGTTCTAATATCCAGTTATTATATACATATTAATAACCAAAACCAGATTAAAGGTTAGTAATATTTATGTACCAGATATTTTTTGTCAGTGTACTTTACATTGTTGATATTAAAATGCGGATTCAATTTTCTCTTAATTTCCTCTTCATAACTTCATTTGAGTACTTTGTATTCTCAAAGAAAGGCCAGTATTCTAATAATCTCAAAAAAGATGGGGCCATAGCCAGGATGAACAGCTAAAGGCTGGATGTTAATAAAGACTGGGAAAATTATAAATTGGTAACCCTTTAATTTAAGTCCCTTTTTAGTATTTATAAGCATTATACAAACATTTAATTCCACACTATAATGTATTTGTAGCTATAAGGATATTATTACATGTTAATGTACAATCTTTGTCAGAAATTAAAACTTCTCCTATGAAGTGTTATGGGGTGTGGTGTGTGGACAGAGAGGACCCAAATGCAGCATTCAGAGGGAAGGAGGTTTATTGGGGGAAAAAAAAAAAAAGGGTGAGAGGGACTGGAGTGGAGGGAGAGGAGGACGTCGGGGAAGTACTGGCACGGGGAACCAAGGAGACAGGGGGCCAGGGAGCCGGGGAACCGGGAGGACGCCGAGAGGGAGGTCCGAAGGGGAGTGGGCCAGTGGATGAGCCCAGCCGAACGGAGGACGAGGGTGAGTGTACCTGGGAGGGAAACAGACAGAGAGACAAGGTTAGGGGGAGACAATGACAAGGCACAGGGTAAGTTTGAAAAAAAAACAAGAAACGAGGAAGCCTGAACACAGAAGTGGCACCAGGTATGGAGCAACGACGATCAAGCGAGGATGGTGTGGAGAACCGGGGTTGAAATACAGGCTGGGATGAGGTGATTACTGGCAGGTGTGGCAGGCTGACGAGGTGGATGATTGGTTGCAGGTGCAGGAAGTTGGCTGGGCTCAGGAGCGGAGGGAGAGAGAGAGCACACGGGGGAGAAAATACAGAGAGGCGGGCAGAGAACAGGAAACCAAGGAAAAAAGCAGAAAAACTGATAAAAAAGGAGAAAAAAAACCAGGACACTCACCGTCAGCCGGGCTGCCACCACAACAGGGCCCCCTCCTCAATGGACGCCTCCCGGCGGCCTTCCTATAGGACAAGGGGTTTGGCAGACGAACACAGGGGGGAGGAAGACGTACTGGGGTCCAGGATCCAAAACCAAACTGGGAATACAGGGAGGGCTTCAGGACAGGGAAGAGTTAGGGGAACAGGCAGGGCAGAACTGAAAACTCAGGGCTAGACAGGGTGCCAGAGGGTAGCGCTGGGGGACCAGGGAGTTCAGACGGGGTGCCAGAGGGAGGAGCTGGAGGAGCAGAGAGTTCGGGCGGACGTCCCGAGGGCGGAACAGAGGGACCAAGGGGTTCAGGGGGGCCAGGTTGGTCCAACGGGCAGCCCGAGGGCGGACAGGGGGAGCCAGGAAGTTCAGGGGGACAGGTCGAATACAGAGCAGGAGAGCCAGGGAGATCCGGCGGGCAGGCCGAGGGCGGAACAGCCCGCCGGGCTCCCCTGGTCCGCCGGGCGGACCGAGGGTGGACCAGGGAAGCCAGGAGGGTCCGGCGGGCGGCCCGGGGGCGGGCCCGGGGAGCCGGGAGGGTCCGGCGGGCGGCCCGGGGGCGGGCCCGGGGAGCCGGGAGGGTCCGGCGGGCGGCCCGGGGGAGGGCCCGGGGACGACCTCTCCAGAGGCCGGGGAGCCGGGCGTGGGGCTGGCAGCGCGACAGCAGCGGGGGGAGTCAGGGATGAGGCTGCTGGGCTGAGGGCCTTGGTGCGAGGAACAGGGGTTGGCCGGACCACCGGCGGGGCTGAAGCCGGTCCGTCCGCCAACAGAACACGAGGAGCAGGGGTCGGCCGGACCACCGGCGGGGCTGAAGCCGGTCCGTCCGCCAACAGAACACGAGGAGCAGGGGTCGGCCGGACCACCGGCGGGGCTGAAGCCGGTCCGTCCGCCAACAGAACACGAGGAGCAGGGGTCGGCCGGACCACCGGCGGGGCTGAAGCCGGTCCGTCCGCCAACAGAACACGAGGACTAGTGGCCCTAAGGGGCAAGGGATCGGGGGGGCCAGGCTGGAGGCTGGCGGCGCTAGCAGGTTGGGGATCAGGGTCTGACTGGGGCCTAACCTGTTGGGGATCAGGGGGAAGCTGGGGGCTAGCGGCGCTAGCAGGCCGAGGGACAGGCTCGAGGTCGGATGCCAACTGCCACGTAGACCACAGCTCTGCCAAGACATCCAAGAACATGTCCCTCTCCGCTTTTGAGTCTGCTGGGTCCATGGGTGGCTTGATCGTTCTGTTACGGGGTGTGGTGTGTGGACAGAGAGGACCCAAATGCAGCATTCAGAGGGAAGGAGGTTTATTGGGGGAAAAAAGGGTGAGAGGGACTGGAGTGGAGGGAGAGGAGGACGTCGGGGAAGTACTGGCACGGGAACCAAGGAGACAGGGGGCCAGGGAGCCGGGGAACACAGGGGCCAAGGAAGCGAGGAGAGGCAGGGGAACAGGGAGGACGCCGAGAGGGAGGTCCGAAGGGGAGTGGGCCAGTGGATGAGCCCAGCCGAACGGAGGACGAGGGTGAGTGTACCTGGGAGGGAAACAGACAGAGAGACAAGGTTAGGGGGAGACAATGACAAGGCACAGGGTAAGTTTGAAAAAACAAGAAACGAGGAAGCTTGAACACAGAAGTGGCACCAGGTATGGAGCAACGACGATCAAGCGAGGATGGTGTGGAGAACCGGGGTTGAAATACAGGCTGGGATGAGGTGATTACTGGCAGGTGTGGCAGGCTGACGAGGTGGATGATGGGTTGCAGGTGCAGGAAGTTGGCTGGGCTCAGGAGCGGAGGGAGAGAGAGAGCACACGGGGGAGAAAATACAGAGAGGCGGGCAGAGAACAGGAAACCAAGGAAAAAAGCAGAAAAACTGATAAAAAGGAGAAAAAAAACCAGGACACTCACCGTCAGCCGGGCTGCCACCACAACATGAAGACATATTTCATATTATTCCAACTGTGTTTTACCATATTGTCATAACTTGGGGTCTTTGTTACATGTGTTCATTGCTATCCTTTTCTTTTTGTTCCCTAGCCCTTACTGACAGACAATGCTGGAGAGCTGGTACAATATACACCAATCTTTTCACTGGTGCTTACACTAAAATGGCATCATGTTGTTAAAACACACGGATAGGCTGACTCATTAGATAGATAATTAGCTAGGGGTGGAAAATAAGTAGTATCATGAATACAACAGCTCATGCTGATTAGAACACTGTACAACTGTGTAACTTAAAATGGAGTTCTTGTGTTGGACTATAGTTAGAGAGTAATACTGTGTAAAAATACTGCTTATTTTTTGGTACTGTCTATTTACTCTTTGTCTCTCTGTAACCATATTTCACCAGCTACATGAGTGAATCAAACTTGTGGCCTTTATGTTGCAGGTTATGTTGGAGCAAATGCAAGGCCTGATGCACCTTGAACTCTCAGGCTGCAATGACTTTACAGAGGCCGGCCTGTGGTCCAGTCTGAATGCCCGGCTAACTTCCCTCAGTGTCAGTGACTGCATCAATGTGGCGGATGACGCCATTGCTGCTATCTCACAGCTCCTGCCCAACCTATCAGAGTTGAGCCTGCAAGCCTACCACGTCACTGACACGGCCATGGCCTATTTCACAGCCAAACAGGTAGGATGTGAAAACAAGAGAAACCAGCTTGGTTTGCTAACTGTCCACATTCATACATCTTAATTCTCATTGTGGATCTCAATTATTCTGTTTCCGATTTTTTTCACATTATTAAAAAATATATATATGTGGCTGTAATAAGCCTTCCTCTCTGCCTACCTTTGTGCACTCTGTCCATGCTCTCATTGTGCATTTGAATTGGGGTGGGATTATTTTGGTTGGACACTATCAAGCTGTCTCAACGTTACCTACCCTATCTTTAACAATGGATCAGTCTAACGTGACAAAAGCCACTCATAGTGACAATCTCACAGAGAATGATGGGGTCCAAGCAGAGTGTGAGCATTTTCACCAAGTCCTTCACATTTCTGGCATGTCATCCGAACCCTATTCCATCCATTCTTTCCTTATCGTAGTCAGACTGGACATCTCGTTTTAAATCATTCATGTTCTTGGTCGCTGTTCGTCCGAGGCATATCACTCTTACATCCAAAATTAAGTTAATATCTGTGTAGCTCACTCTCACCTCAGCTCCATTTAAATCCACTGAGTCTTTTGGGAGCCCGTAATCCTCTCAAGTGACTCTAGTCCAGAGACACGGAGTGTCCTCCTTCCCGGGCTCTAATACATCCATCCAACCTTTAAACTCTCACTGCTAGTTGAGAGTTGCTATTAATCTGAAAACTTGTCAGGGGCCAAGTTTATTGAAGATGCAGACGTTGGAAGGTTTCTTATTTTGGTATTGAGCCTATATCCAGGAAAAGTGATGTATTTTGGATTTGGATTTTTAGAAACCTTGGTATGGAGGTGGCTGGTTTGCACATTGAGAAAAGAACAGTATTGTCTGAGTAGGAATCTATTCACTTAAATCAAACAAAGTGAAATTACCTTCCACCCACAGGGCTACACCACCCACACTCTGCGACTTCACTCCTGCTGGGAGATCACCAATCATGGTGTGGTCAACATGGTGCACAGCCTTCCCAACCTGACTGCCCTCAGCCTCTCTGGCTGCTCTAAGATCACTGACGATGGAGTGGAGCTGGTTGCTGAGAACCTGCGTAAGCTTCGCAGCCTGGACCTGTCCTGGTGCCCTCGGATCACAGACATGGCCCTGGAATACATTGCCTGTGACCTGCATAAACTGGAAGAACTGGTGCTAGACAGGTCAGTGTGTTTGTGTTCCTGTGCTTTTGTCCTTGTGATAAGCAGTTTGGTATGTGCAGAGGTGGGTAGAGTACTGTACTTACGTCAGCAGTTACTCAAACAATTGAAAAAGTAGTTTTCAAGTTAATTACCAGGAGTAAGACATAAGCTTATGAAATCTCATTGCATTTGTCATATAAAGCAAGTCCAGACTGTACTCTTTGTGATATCATTTACAGAGACCCAACAATTCCCACCATGAGCAAGCACAGAAAAGGAAAAACACCATTTTAATAGGTAGAAACCTTGAACAGAACCATGACAGGATGCATACAGATGGAGAGACATGAGGAGAGAGGAGCTCAGTGCAGTGTCTAGGCCTATAGCAGCATAACTAAGGGACGGTTCAGGACTCACCTGAGCCAGTACTAACTATAAGCTTTATCAAAGAGGAAAGTCTTAAGCCTACTCTTAAATGTGGAGATGGTGTCTGCCTCCTGAACCCAAACTGGAACCTGGTTCCACAGGAGAGGAGCTTGATAGCTGAACGCTCTGGCTCCTAGTCTACTTTTGGAGACTCTAGGAACCACAGGTGCATTCTGGGAGCGCAGTGCTCTGGTGGGGTAGTAAGGTACTATGAGCTCTGATCAAAATTAACTGCGACATTGAGGTTGTGTCCGGGATGCGATGGATCTGCCGTGATGTTTCCTGCCCATTTGCTGAATGGAGGGCAGGTTAGCACCATTGATTTTTTTTTTTTGCAGTCCTGAGTGTTGTAAATGTAAATGCTCTGTATTTGTATAGTGCCTTTCTAGTCTTTGCACATTCACCCATTCACACAAACTAACATTCATACACAGATGGAACAGCCATCAGTTCAGGGTTCAGTATCCTACCCAAGGACACTGAAATGCCAGGGGTGTTCGGGGGAATTCCCCCACGACTTTGTTATTTTCTTTTAAATAAAGCACTTAAATGCTAATTTCTAATGACTTTTGAAAAGAGAATGTACTTACTAGTACAGCTGAAAGAGGGTCTTTGCAGTGAGAGAAGATGGAGAATAGAGAAATTATTTGTTATTTAATTAATTATGAAACCTCGGGTGCACGGTTGAGAGTAAATGCTCTGTATTTGTATAGCACCTTTCTAGTCTTTTCAACCACTCAAAGCGCTTTTACACTACATCCACACACATTCATTCATTGAGCCTAAATGCTCCGACAGAAACTGACATTCACACACTGGCGGAACAGCCACCAGAGGCAATTCAGGGTTCAGTGTCTTGCCCAAGGACACTTCGACATACAGCCAGGGGGAGCCGGGGATTGAACCGCCTTTCGATTAATGGCCAACCCGCTCTACCTCCTGAGCCACAGCCAGAGTATAGAACAAATCCTACTACATACCATAAAAACCATGGAACAGCTGCTAGTTAATGGAGCCACAGCACAAATGCATTTAGTTATCCTAATGTTACACTTGATGTAAGCTGTCTGTGATATTTCCTGTGTCTCACTTGGCCCTGACTCTCCCTGCAACAAATGTTTGTGAACACAGAACTGTCTTCAGTGCAAACTCTGATAATATGCTCCTGTATTCTTGAGAATTTTATGCAAGTAGAGTATATTACTGAATGAGCCATAAAAATACATTTATTAATTATAAAATTATATTAATTATATTAAACAAGAAACACCTCTATAACTCTCCTAAAGTAAAAAAAAAATGACTTGAGCTGAGCCCTTGAGTATATAACTAAATAAGCCATATGATCATCAGTCTTACCATAAACTGGTACATTGGACTTTGCTGCCTTTGACTCTGTTGTGCTATTACCCTCATCCCTGCTGTCTGTCTCATGTTCACCATGTCAGTGCCAGTACTGGGGCCGCTGGCCAGTTGTAGGTGGAGTTCTCAAAATCTTTACTCAAGGAAAAGTACAATTACTCCCATAAAAAGTAAAAGAAAAATTACAAACTTACTGGAGTAAAAGATTAATATATTTGATATATTTCCTCTGCTGTGCATCAGGTTAGAAAGTCATGTCCAACATGGTTATTTCTAGGGAATGAAATTGGCTTATCTGGTTGATTATGTGTAATTTAGCTATTTCTGTTTAATACATTTATTTTCCTTTTTGAATCTCCATGAAGGTGTTGATAAGATCACTTTAAAATATCACGTTTGCTGCCCAGCCACTGTTGTTGCCTGTATTTTTTATTATGGACATGTAGCCAACCAAACCACTTACTTTGCAGTAGCACAGGCAGCCAATACAATCTGATTATTCCTAAAGCATCTATGAACATAATGTTCACAATGCAAACAATTATTGTAGCAGTAACATGGGAGCAGCTCGTTGTTGAAGCAGGGTAAGCCTTCATACAGAGGAAGCTGTGTGTCATGCGTAAAGGCCAACAGGACTGTTTTATCCACCCATATTTTCTCTCTCTCTGTGCATCTCATAAATGATTGTTTGCTGAATAAATAACAGCTGGTAGCTGCTGAGTGAAAGCCAAGATTAGTTTCACCGGGATCTGGCAACATTCTGTTTATGTAGGCTGCTCACCGTCGGACATCGTTATAAAACAAACTGTAACCAATGTGAAAGAAACAGGCTAATGTCCATCAAAAGAAAGTGATGGTCTTTTCAATAACAGGATACTGTTAATATATCAGAATCCAGTGATTATCAGACTTAGATGTTACAGTGTGAAGTCTACATTTGCTCTGCAGAGACTGGAGAGATGGAAAGTGAAAGTTTTTCACTTGCCGGCTTGTTAAAGAGCGACTGCTTTCCAACACAACCACCAGTACCATGGAGTGCGTTCACTAGATTTCAGATGTATTAGTAGAACAATTAAGCCTTAAACTGAAAAGACACATGTCTGATTTTCTAAATGTTTGCATCCGCCCAGCTCACTGCAGATCTTCTAATAACCTCCTGAGCCACAGCCCTGAATTGTAGTCTTTTTGAACTTATTTGACAATGTTGTGTTAATAACATAGATAGACTAACTTATCAGAGTTAACTTGAAGGAATTAGTCTTGGACAAATGTGTGCATTACTAACAATTCAACTCTGGATTGATTTAGTGCATGATCATGTTTTGATTCAGATCGTGCACGAAAAGGAGGGGCTGTTCATAGACACTTCAATATGGAGCCTGGAGGAACCAGGGATTGAACTACCTTATGATTAGTGGGCAACCTGCTCGACCTCCTAAGCCACAGCCGCCAAAACATTATTTTGAACGCAGTGTTTGTGTTGTGTTTTTGTATTTATTTTTGAGTTTTAAAAAAAATGAGCCACATTTTCAGAAAGTGTGTAAACAACTGAAAAAAATTTAAAAGCAGAGCAGATGTGTTTTGTACCAGCTGAAGGCATGAAATTATTGTATTTTTGTGCCTCGAACCTGAATAAAATAATTTAAAGTAATCTGTAAATGAAATACATAAAAGTTATGGAGATGAAATAAAAGCATGAATGACCTTCTTGAGATGAGGTTGATGGAAAATCTAATCTGATCTTTGAGAAGCTCCTTAGTTCATAGAACATGAGCGAATGACTGCCATTCTCACCGTTGAATCATCGTCGTGGAAGTAGGATCATAGCATTTTGGCTATATGGGGGTGCTCAACGTCTATATAGAACGACCATTTTTCTTCCAATAAGTTAATATACAGCCTACAGCCAATCACCGATTGCTGAAAGCCGTATCGGCTGATTCCAATTACAGATCACCAATCGCTGGGTCTATTTGAAGTCTTTAATTTATCATGTAGCATTATATAGGATACTGTATATTTATTTAATTAGTCCTAAAATGAACAGATGATAAAGATGTCTGTGAAGATTCTCAGTCATCCAGGTCATAGTTATCCAACAAAGGTTAAAGTCAAGGGCAACTGGACTTGGTTGAAGATACTGGAAGACGTTTCGTCCTTCATCCAAACGACTTCTTCAGTTCTGACTGACTGGCAGGGAAACTCAGCTATTTAACCTCAGTGGGGTTGTTTGCCAGGATCGTCGATACTTCTGGTTCTTTAGTGTTCCTGGTTGTTTTAATGACAGTCGTTACGGCTACCCCAGGCCAAGACTGAACGACCATTGTTGGTATCTTCACCTGAGGCCAATAGGTTACGTTTGTTGAGTTTCCTGGGAAGTGATGAAAGGACAGCATTGTAAGTGGGAGATAAGTGGGCAAGGGCTCCAAGCCTCCCGGCGCCAGCTGCGCCCCTTGCCCCGCAGAGGCTGCACAAGTTGGCCTGGGCGCCCCGCCGTGGCTTCGTAGGCCCGTGGTGAATAAATGACCAGAGTTTCAAATTAGGGACTTGTGGTTGGAGATATAAAATGAATTTATTTCTATGGGAGTGTTATTTGATATACGATTAACAGCACCACCTTGTGGCCGATAGACTCAAAATTTCATTCATCAGTGGTTGGCTATAGGCGGCCCGCCAGCAATAATATCTGGCCAGATTGCTTCAATAGCAGAAAAATAAAAAAGAAATAAATTGATAACGGCTGGTGCTGAAATAGATCTCAGTCATGACAGCTCACACAATCACTCAGCGCAAGAATGTCTTTTGCAGCAATGATTTATGTCCAGTTTATTAAGAGCTTTTACTTTGAAGAGTTCTGAAGGCCAGTCAAAAGAGTCTCTGGCCTGCTTGACAAACCTCTTAAAAAGCCGTCAGTAAAGGTGTGATTGGATTCCCCTGAATTTTGTTAGGGAAATGAAAATAAGTGTCCATAGTAGGGTTGACACCCAGTAGTCGAAGATTTATTTGATTTTACAAAGGTTAAAAATATGGGAGATTTACGGGGAAACATTTAGGATTTTTAAAATTTTTTATTTCACCTTTATTTCACCTTTATTTATACAGAGAATCAGACTGAGACCAAGGTCTGTTTTACAGCTGAGCCCTGTGTACAGCAAACAGATAAATATTCATAACATATAAGATGTGTTTTAAAAGTAAGATGTTCATCCAGCCAAATAGCGAAGTATTTGTAT